AACCAAGTAGCCAGTTTATGGCATGGTGATTTCGTCATTGGCATTATAAATCACAATGGTACATCAGGTTTGTGGACTTTGGCTGACCATACATGAATAATAGGCGTGAAATCCTTGTAGTGAAGCCTTATGTTCCACTCGACACCCAAGGGAATAACATAATAATATCAGGTGCAAACAGATTGCTTACCTCAGTCTATTTATGATGATGTTTGTGATCACCACCAAATCGCAAAATAAATCAGACACACACTGAGGTATTTGCGAATCCAGGCAAGTGTTCTAGAAGCAGCAATAGTCTTCCACGCACCGAGACCAACAATTGCTAATAGCAATGTGTTATATTTGAGTCTGGGCTTCAATGACAGACAAGTCAAGTTTGGGATGATATCTGCGTAAGCTGTCAACGTTTTGTACGCACCGACCAATTAAACGACTACTCTCTGAGCCTAGTTGGAGTTTGATTCAAGACGAATTACTTGTTTGATAATCAACTTCGTTTTATGCGAAATTACAGTTTTAGCACATAATCCCCCTAGGCTAATTGCTGTTTACTTAAACCAACCATTTTCAACCTTACCTATAGGTTTCAAATCTGATAGTTGGTCGTATAAATAATCAAACTGCGTTTCTGTATCAATTCTGCCGATAAACGAGTTTGGTACGTGATACTTGAATCCTAGAGCCTCGGTCTCGACTTGGATAAGCTTCACCTCCGATAAATTGCAAATGTATTTTTATGGGACTATAGAATCTCTTCATGTAGTTGTTCCACTACCAAGACTACCAGAGTTCCTACTACATGAATTCGCAATCTGTGGTTGTAAGTCTTGCATGAAGTTAATAAGCTTTATCCGAAACACCAAATTGAGACTTTCTAATAGACTATCGAATTTGAGTAGATCTGACCTCAAGGTGTTGTTGTATTTCTGAGATGAATCAATATGCGATTTCATGATGCGACGAAGATTCTTTTGAGTTGGAGGTAAATCAGTCAGTCTGACAAGTTTCAGGAAGTGAAGTGGAGAATAACCTGTCTCGAGACAATCCCCATAGACTTTAATCCTAGACATTTCTCTCGCTATTCTGCTACATAAACTCACTAATCGATTCAGTGACTTGATTAATTTTCTAGGGAGACGTTGTTTCACAAATTCCATACAGTCGGTTCCCTTTGTTAGTTTGAATAAGGAAAGGACGAACATATTTGCAGGATAGTACGAGCTCGTTTTATTTCGTAGATTCTCTCAACTGCGTACATCCTAAGTAGATCAATCACCAGTTACAAAATTTCCGAACATACTTTATACGATGACTTCAAGTTATAGATAGAAAGTATAGGCAACTCAATCTCATAGATGATGTAAGTAGACAATTATTCAGTGTTAAAAGAGTAACTATTCATATAGTAATTGGACAAGGGGTTAGAGTTCAGATTCAGCTTGGAAACAAGGATAGACTAGAGGCGAATTACAAGATAGAACAACAGAGTTAATTTATACATATTATGGTGGGGGATTCAGGAGAATGGGCGTGGTGAATATTGAAGTAAAATTATAAAAGTGGATAGTATAATTTAATTTAGTAGATTCGGAACCTTAACAGTGAGTTTAACCTATTGAGTGAAAATCAAGATTGAGTGGAATCTGATGCAACAGTACAAAACTCAGAAGCACACGAACAAAACAGCTACGGTTACAAGGGTAGTGAGAGATTAGTCACACTCTCTTTCTGTCTGCATTGGTTGGGCCAAAGTCTTTCGATGGCAATGGCTTTAGCGAACACAGATAACCATGCTTTTCTTTGTGTATTGATTATTTTGGAATCCTGACTAATTATTTCATTTTGCCTATGCTTATTTTGACACGAATTCGTCCTTCCAGCAGCCTGTCTCATTACGCGATCACATGCTTATAATCATTCAGCTTTACCACACCTCCATTATACTCTATCAATACTCAGTAATCCTCATAACCTTATACTTATTCTGCTAGTTGCTGCGCCCTTTGAATGTAGAACTGTTGCATTAATTCATGAGAAAGTCATACATAATTGCAGCTGCAGTAGATGAAATAGTCTCTCCTCTGTGTTTTATTAAATACGATAGGGCAGACTCTAAGAATGACTATCTCGCTAACAAAATCCTCATCACCGAGTCGGCGCTTCTTCATAGCGAATAACTGAGTCTGCTTCTTCAGATACACAAATTGCTCCACTCCATCACTACTCCTTCAGATATCTTACCTCGGGTGTTTTCATCAAGTTCTTTGCATGCCTAAGCCTCAGTCAAAGGACGTAAGTGAAACAACGTTCGAAGAATGTGAAGTAACTCTTCGGACTATTTTGTTTAATTTCGCCATAACAGCTGGAATGTTTAGTGCACATTTTCATGCAATGTCCAGTGAAGTTGGAATTCAACTATCTGGAAGTCATCCTTCATGTAGTTACTGTGTTATGGGACGAAAGGAATGTAGGAGTAGGAGAGAGAGGGAGACATACACCTGAATGCACTACTTAGTTTGTAGGGCTGAAGCATCACGAGAAGGATTCTATAGAAATGCCCGAAAGTTGTAATTGTAGTCCTTAAGCCAATGAACACATTACTAAATGGGTGGTTTCGCTTACCTACTTACTCATTCTGAAGTTGAGAAAGCCATACACCTTATTGAAACATCGTCTAATAAAAAAATTAAGATTCCTTGCGATTAAGTCCATTTCATAGCTCGCATAAACATAATACCGCTAGGCTGTTTACTGTTACAACCGGCTTACGAAATTTCCTTTATTGCCAATCGATGGCCACCAAACTTAAGCTTTATAGCTGAAAATCGATCACAGTTTAATGCAGATTTATTCAGTCAACACCGCTTTTAGCACAAGCAAACACTGATTATGCTCTCTCGTCCACCATACTCCTATTAATTCTAACATTTTCTATATTGATTTATTTTCTATTGATATTGTGACAAGTATAACAGCTTGATTATAATAATAACTCCACTCTATGCACTACAGAATTCTCGGCGTCTATTATTCTAAAATACTTTGTCTCACACCTCTGTTTACTGTCTATATTATGCATTTTTTCTCTTGCTTTGCGTGCTACATAGATTGTGGCGACTTGAACTGCCGCACATATGTGCAAAGTTCTATGTCGAAAACTGACTGATTCTAAAATACTAGTTCCACGGGGATTTTTAAATAATAATAAAAACAATTGACTGGATGCCATTTCTCATAGTACTGTTCAACACGAAAACCCTCCTTTCCTTCCAAAAGAAGCAAGTTGAAGTGTTTCGGAACGCTTGTAACTACATGACACCATATACAGACATACTTCAATATCAGATGACGCAACGTATGGGCATTATGCTGGTTAGTTATTTATTTATTGTCTCCTATGGAGGAACATTAGTAAAGTAGATATATTAAGCTGTCCTACTCTTTTCACAAAATCAAATGAGTCTCTTAGGGTGGAAGTGGGCAACTGTTCCTATCCTCTACGCTAACCAGTGAGGAAGTATGTGATAAGGAGAAGTGACCATATATACGATAGGCCTCATTTGCATTACTATATGGGTGATACAGAAGAATTTACTATGTGTTTTCGTTTCGTTATTCAGAGAGACGCTCTTGTAACTTATGAAACAAGTGCTAAGTCACGATTTAATAGGGAGGGTTAAGAGTTGACAGGAAAGATTGAGAAATGGATTACAAAGGAGCTGAGGGAACTTGTGAAAGGGAAACTGATTGACAATGAGACCAACAGTAAACTCAGAGCGAATGAATCTCACATGCTTTTCCAGAATGGACAGCCAAAATTACACAAGGACATGCAAATGAGGCCCATCCTACATATGGTCACTTCTCCTTATTGTAAATTTTCTTACTGTCTTCGGACTAACGATTTTGAGTCTGTGGTCAGACTTTCTCTGAACGTCTTAGAAAATATAATTTATTTTCAGTGAGCAAATTATACGTGATCGATTTAAATCCCTTGTCTTAAACTTTCGATTAAATTCCTAGATGATTAGATATGTAGTTTAATTATGTTTCGAAGATTTCATAGTGTTGGTTACAGTTTTTCGACGTTTCCATCCAACTCTTGTAAAATGAACTGGTTGCTCAGTCCAACTATGTCATATGGATTACTTATTTATCTATCTTATAAATAAAGCTGTATGCTGCTCACGACTACTTTATGCAACAAAATTAATTCATTTTATCATCCAACAACGGTTCTAATTGCTTTATTCATGTTTAATGAAGAGATTAACTACACCAAAGGAATACTGTTTTTTTTTTATTAATAACGAAAACATCGTGATAAACAACATAAGACATGTTAGTGCTAATCCTGTTCATCTTAACTCTGCATGTTTTTTTCCCCTTGAAGTAATTCTCAGTCCTTAATTGGACAACTACATCCAATCTTAGAAACAACATGGGAAATTCATAAATTACATGTGAGACGTTTGTTGTGATGAATTAGGGAAATGTTTGTGAAAAATCCACTAAAAAGGCTTTAACGCAGCTGTCATTTATTTCTGTCACTACAATGTGGGAAGGGAAAATCCTTATCAATTAACTAATTTGATACTATTTAGTTTTCTACTACAGTAAGAATATTAGCACGCCCAGAGTTATTAGAACACTCCAAAGACAACTAGTATATCAGACGAAATAAAAAAAGCTTTAAATGTAGAGTTTTTTTCTGATTTCCAAATAGAAATGTTATTGATAACTGAAACAATGGATTAAACTAAATCTCTATAATACACAATGTTCTTGTGAAAGATAGAAATGCATTTCATGAGATACTGCAGTTGTTGTTGTTGTTTTTTTTTTTTTGAAAAAAAAGAGAGAAAACGATAATCTCTCTGTTTATTTTCATTCTAAAATAATTTCATTTAAAATACAGTACCAAATGAAAGTATTATCGAGGTGAAAGAAAAAAATTAGTTAAAATAAATGTTCTCATCTATAGGTTCAAAATAATGTCACCGATTAGGTCCACTCCTGTCCCAGTAGGCTTTAGAACTCATTTCACGCAGTCTGGATAGTGTCCGAGAGTATGCAAACAAATCTTCTTCACCGGTGAAGATTGATCCAATATTAGACGGATGATCCTAAAAGTTAAAAAAAATAATATCAGCAGCAGTCACAAGTTATTTTAATCTCAAAAAATAAAACATAAGAAACTGAAAAAGCCATATTCAAGTATAATATGAAACCCCTAGATTTTAGCCTAAATAACTATAATTTAATGCGAATGAATAGTCATATAAGACTGAAAACTGATCGTTACCGTGTGTTATGGTTGAGTTTATCAAAAAGAAGAAATTCTGAATCCAGACTGAAAAAATTACTCAAAATGTTCTGACTGATGAAACAAGCTAAAATACCAATCCTTTTTCCAAGATTCAGACGTTGACAATAAATGAGAAACTTGCTTACGCATACGGATGTATTGTAAACTCAAAATAGTATCGAACGGACATTTGACATTACTTCAAAAATGAGCATTAACTGTTAAGAGATGAATGATACTACCCCTCAGGATTAAACAATTAATTCAACAGTTTGTGATCAGTTGTCGTGACAGATATTTGAGGTAAGAAGAAGATATTTTTAAGTAAAATTTGTATGACGAAAATAATTTACGTTGGATAAAATCAATCATTTTACAATGTAAATGCTGAATCTTATGCTAAGTCAAATGAATCACAAATAGAAGGTTACACGTATTACTATAAAGTATATCCACTGACACCATTAAGTAAAACTTTAGGAGAAAAGAACGCAACCTGAAGTATTTTGCGAAAGTCTGAGTAACACACTATAATAAGGAATTCAGCCAATCCCGATTGATAGCTGCTACCTGGACGTAGTGGTTGGGCTTTAATGTCGCAATGACCCAACAAGCTACACTGGCTGCAACAATTGTTCCTAAAGGTCCTACAGTGCCACGAAGGTTGTCAGGATAGCAATTAGACTAAAAGCAGTTACCAGAATAGTATAAGTATTTGTTTACACTATGCTGAGGGTCTGTGGGCGAAGTCGTACTGCTGAGGAACAGGGATGTAACAGCAGTAAGGTGTTTCCCTCAGATGACCAGCATGCCAGCCACCTATGGTGTCTCTCCACTCTGGTGAGATGGGGTCAGAAAAGGTCAACCCCAACAATTGTACATCCCGACTCAGCCTACGGTGTTCCGTAACCGGCGGTAGGTTTACTAATACGCAACCAATCCAAGAAAACAGTTCATACAGACCGTGTATGACCGGCCTCAAGCAGTTCTCTCTTCTGGGCTCTGCGGTCACGCAACACTAACCCTCTTTCTGTTTCCGGTAACCGAAGAATCAATCAACTCCCACGGTGTCCGCAGCCGGGAAGTGACAACCGCCCACACACCTCCAAAAGCACACGAAACCTTCCTGATCATCATCCTCCATTATCCACATCACCCTCATCATCTTACTTCCCTACTACTGTCAGTACAATTCTGCAGGCTAGTGAGTCATCTTCACTTCGCGTCACTCTGTGACCACAAACAACGATCACAGCCATAGAAACACTCCCGACAGCCTCTTAAAGTCACATCACCAACTTCATAAACGAGCATTCAACGTCAGAACCCTTTGCTAAATCGGACAACACGCATCACTAGCGAGAACTCCGGAATCTCGAGACACGTATGTATGTTGTGTTTCGGAGACATCCACACAAGACCTGCGTGTGATTATTCACTTAACCCCACCCGATCAACAAGGTGAATCTGCGAAATTCACCTTATGGGTGTTAGGAGATTGCTCAGCTAGTTCACGAGGATCGTGTAGTGATAGCATTGAGTGTTACGGCAGAAAAATTCCTGCTTGACTGGATTCCAGTAGATAGTCGTATGTGCGCGGTCCATTTGAATGGGTCCGTAAGAAGGATGGCATTACCCGTCGTTGGCTTTTCGTAGTCTCCGCTCACACCCCAACCAACCGCAGTTCGGATGAACTAAAGGATAACTTCTACCAGAAACTGTATAATTTGCTGCAAAAAGCAAAACGCTCAGATATAGTTGTTTTAGCAGGCGACTTCAATGCCCAAGTAGGGAAGTTACGGCAGATTGAGCTGTATACAGTTGGTACATACGGAGTTACCTCCCAACAGTGTTCGTCTTCTACAGTTCTGTTGGATCTATGGTACCAGTATTGTTATTTCCGTTCTTTAGAAAGTTGTCTGACATTAACTTTTGTGATGTCACAGGTAAAGTGGATGAGAACTTCCAGCGACATATTGTCAGATTGATCACAAGAAAGCAAATGAATCTACTTTTTAAAATTCTCGACATTTTATTCATCCTTCCCTAAGACTATAAAAATATTTGGGTGTACGTTGATTCGAAATACTTCCTATTTTACCAGAACACAGTAAAAATTCTATAGTTTCCTGCTAAACAGGGTATTTAATCATTCTGTAAAATTACATGTGTTAATCTTACCATTTTTATATTTAAGTCGTCGATTAGTTGACGATGCACTAAATCTAATTCTGGTGAAGGCTGTCTTTTAGCTTCCAATAATTCATCCAATGGACACACTGCACCAATAACGAGACGAGTACGCATATCGTACAGTACATCAATCAAGTGTGTGAAACGTTTCAAACTTGGCAAATTATGCAAACCCATTCGAGGAACTTGGCATAAAACTAGTGTGTGAAAGCTTTTAGCCAGTGTCATATAGTCAGCAGCACACAAAGGCTAAATAGAAAAGAGAACACAGAATGTGAATCGCATTTACAAAAAACATACAGAACTAACTCGATTGCCAGTAAATAGTCAAATACAAATAACACACAAAGTATGTGAGTACCAGTATGGGAACCATATCACTTATGAACATAAAATATTTCACTACGCTTAAGGTTATAACCCACTTAATATAGAAATGTGCATTTTGATAATTCAGCACTAAAAATAGGCGAGAGTGATTACAACTAGACACGACCGATGGAAAACTATCTCTTTACTTGGTAAGATTCTGAAAAATCGTTTATGAAAAGCTTTTTAAGTTTTGTTCTTCCCAACTCATTTACTAAGTATGCACCAGTCGTTCAGACTATCGTTGGCAAACGACTGAACTGGACATTCAAAACTAACTTTTCTTTACTTCTGATTTCTCAACGAATGTTAAGTAAAACCACATAAATATTTTTGTATTTGGCTAAGAGCCACATTTATTATGAAGGGAAGGATTATGACGCCACCGAATCGCTGGAAATTCAGTCGACCAAATGCGAAGCAAACGTATGAGCCACTGGTCGACCGTCAGGTGCCTGAATTAAAGTCACAATTCCAACCATACCCCCAGTAGATAAACTCTTAAGAGACTGTTCAATGTACAAAGAAAGTGATCATTTACTTACCACATCACACAATTCAGCGAAATTGCATTTTAAGACACCTTTTCCTGTCTGCTTAAACTCAAGTACACGGCCATACGTTGAGATTTCTCCAGTTTCTGGCGGCCCAACTAAAAGTGAACAAAATTATAAAGTTACTAGAAAAAAAAGAAAGAATGCGATGAAAAAAGTGTGAAAAAGAAACACACAGACTATATTGTCAGACCCCGGACACCCTCTCTATACGCAGCTCTCTCCTTGCATTTCATCTGGTAGAACTAGAAGCAACTATAGGAGGCTATATGCCAGGACTACCAAGTAAAAAAACTCCACAATACCTTATCTGGCACAGCTGTTATGTGATGAGAAAACTGTTAGGTATGACACGATCAACTTACTGCGGCACTCTAACAAATAGTTCCCATTAGCTTTTTTTCTCCTTTCTTTGTTACTATTATATTGTTGCTCACATATTCTATTACACACTAATTTTATATTTCATATCCTGTGGTGCATTGTTTAAATATGTGAATGCAATGCTGTTCTTTTTTTATTTCTTTTATTTTTCTTTTTTCTTTTTGACGTTGTTGCTTTTTATTTTTAAAATCTTATAAAAATTTATGAGGTAATTAGATGCAATATTGTAATGCACGCTGAAAATTCCATACCTGTACCACAAAAACTGTTTGGAATAAAGCTATTATTATTATTATTTTATTAATGTTGCTCAGAAGGCGTCTCATTCTTAGAGTTTTTGAAACACTTGTGCAATTAGCATAATTCAAAGTATTCAAAACACTAACGCTTACCATGTCCAGCGGCACTCGTTAATCTGTTAAACCAGTCTTCAAGCTTTCTATCCACATCAGTCATGGTTGAATAGCTTCAAGCATAATAAAATGAAACAATTAGAGAAACGAATAAATTGTTTGACAGAAAATTTGGAATTTAATTTTAATGCATTTCTTTGATAACACATTAATAAGGAAATAGTTAAAATTACCAAAATAAACGACCTGGTACGTCTTCCTATAGAAACGCTCTCATGAGGCCACGCGTTTATAGCTTCTCCCAGGTAAACACTAACCACTGCCTTCACACGGCGGCGACGTTCCTCACTTTCACTCAACCCTAAACCTTCCTTGAAATGACCTTAAACAGTTTGCATATAAACAGGGCAGAAGTAATTTAGACGTTGTTACTGTCTTATATCATAATATTGTTTCCTGATCGGACAAAGGAGCCAAATATGTTCGATGAACCTTCCTGGACTAAACATCCTCTTTAGACTCTGTGCACCCAGATGTTTTTTGTTAAATAAGCTTTCCTTGACACAAACCGAGTTCTGGCTTGTTAACTGGTTGTATTATTTATCTGACAGAATACGCTAAACTGCATATAAAGGCAAATCTTCCTCTGACTCGCTTACTGAAGCCGATGTCCCTCAAGGTGCCATTCTCTCCTCTCTTTTTTTCTTTCTTCTTACATGAGTTGCTTTTTTCGGAAGAAACTAACTTTGTTAAATATGCTGATTGTCTCGTTGCCAGTTACGTCCCTATCTGACTCTTCCAAACTTTTTGTCGGACATAGGCCAGTGGTCTAAGCTAAATCATCTAACGTCAAGTCCCCCCAAATGTCAGACAGTTAACTTCCCTTTCAGGTATAAACGTGATCTACAGGAATTGGTTCGTCCACATGATGCTTGTAGCACAGACGACACTGAAATAGTATATAAGTCAAGCATTAAATACCTTGGAATAACTCTTCGCTCTGGCCTTTCTTGGTCATCTTATCACTTGTTGATTTTTAAGAAATTGGTCCGACTAACCTTCTGCATTAGGAAGTCAAAAAGATCAGATATCGCCCAACACCTACATTTACAGCTAGTTAACTGTTGCATGTTACTTGTTGTCCTTTATTGCTCCCATTAGTCTCTCCTAGGCTACTTAAAAAAGACTGTCATCTTGCGAAGGGCATTAACGATTGTCAATAGGGCACGTTTTGTACCAATTAAGTCAGTTTGTTAATATTGTAGTAGGCAGACACTTGAACTCATGCGGGAAATAGGCTAAATCTATATTGTCTGGCTCTAAGCACCCTCTTTATTTACAACTCTCCTCTTGCATCTCATCATATAGGACTAAAAGTCATTATAAAAGATTATATGCTCACATAACTACGTTCAAAAACTCAAGGATACCCTATTTGGCGCGCGTTTTATGTGACAAAGTGTTAAGCGTGAAACTTATAACTATGTAATTAGCAATATAATTGGCTCTTTAATCTCCTATTTTAATTGTCTTATCATTTTAGTTATCATTATTATTATTATTTTATACTTTTTCGACCTATTTGACTTTATTGTTACTGCTAATGTCAAAAGGTTGCTACCATCAATTTTGGTTACCTATACCCTGTAATGTTTTCTTTGTTGTTGAGTGAATTAGATGCAATATTGCACGTTCTATCATTAGTACTGTTTTGGAATGAAGCAAATTATTATTATTATTATGAAGGACGAATACAAACCAGACTAGTGGACATGCCGGTCTACCTACTTGCGCTGGAAAACTCTGATTTCAAACTAATGGTGTAAATGGACTCCAGAATCTGAAAGGATCGAATAGTATATGGACCTGTTTCGGTCACGGACAACCATAGGAACGTATCTCCTGACACTGTCCTCCCGCCCCACCCCCCACTGCCTGGTGGATCAGACTCCAAGTTAAAGGTTGAAGAGTTGCCCTTCAGACAATCACCTACTTCAGTCTGAGCACAAACTATGAGGTCTTATTTGGTGCATCTTTTGGCGCCGATTTCGTGTTTTAATAAATAAATGATACAAACAGTCGAAATTGAAATCAACATTTTAAGTCACTCATGGACGCCGTAGATTTCGTATTTCAAAACCAGATTTATATCACCGTGAACAGAATAGCTTTATTCTACAATTGAGTGCTTCGTTTAATGAATCAGAATAAGTTATTTTATCATTGGTCTAGTGCAATTTTATAGGTGATGAAAACTTGCTTAGTAGGTACGAGTTCCTTAAAACCATCTCATTTGAAACATTATTTGACTAGTTTACAATTTCTATAACCATCTGAAAAAACACACCAATCACAAACTGTTAAAACACCTACGAAGAACAATGGAAACAATTAAAATCGACCCACATCCACTTCTTCCTTGTTGAAACTGAATCAAGTCACCCTTATCAGTTACTCACAGTGTTGCCTTTATCAGTAGTGGCACATTTGTCAATATAACACAGGCTGTGACAAACGTAATTCGAAACATCTCCGATTTATAGGATACACTGGAAGCTTTTAGTCTAGTGGATAAGTCTATCCTTATTTGTATTTGGCGGACTTACTCTAGGTATAGAGGTAGGTCTAATTCTCTAAGTGTAGATTCGTCCATTTGTGCTCGATAATCGACACCAGCATCCAGATTGATAACGTCACATTTTTCCTAAAACAAAAACAGAGAAAAAAGTTCGTAAGTGCAGAATGTTCGATAGATTCAGAGGAGAAATTAGTGTAACAGACCAGTAATTTAAGCTGTATTCAGTTATTATATTATTTATTATTATTATTTCCTTTAAATCCTAGAGGAACATAGGGCTTCGAATGCACGTCTCCATTGTGTTCGGTTCTCTGTTAAAGTTTTCACCTGGCTCCAGGTTAGCCCACATGCTCTCTCACCTCCTCTTCACATGACCCCCTCCAAGACACCCTTGGACGACCAACTCGCCGCTTCCCTTTCGGGTTCCACTCGAGGGCTTGTCTAGTGATGTCACTCAATTGAAATAACACAAATAAATTAAGAAGCTAAGCTATTTTCAACTAATCTAAAAGGGGGTTGGTAAAAAGGGATTGGGCATGTTACATATTGACCTGAGTTGGTTACATTTAACCTAGTCTTCAATTAACCAATTTCTATCACCCCAAGTACTATGCAAACAAGAAGGTAATTACGCCCTGAACAACTAACAGCTTACTGAGCAAATGCATGCCAAACTTAGAAAATTAATTAATATCACCATCTATGATAATATATGGCATCTACTGCGCAAAACACAGAATAGTCTTCGGCTCATTGAAAGGAAGCAAAATAGATCGACTAAACATCTAAAAGATACTTTTATACATAAAAGATCTAAATCCAGAATAGAAATTTTCTCCAAGAATAGCTCACAATCCGTATCTATGATGATATCGAAGTCAATAAATCTTGTTTAACTAGGCTTTTGAGTGAAACAAACTGCATAATAGTAGGATCGTTTAGATTTAGATACTATGTTAGATAAGTTTATCTGACGTAATACTCAGTGAAACAACATAATCATGAGCACAATGTTTTTTTCTGTTACACATCTTTACATACAGTAAGTTATTTGATAAAAAAGGAAGCAATAAATTCAAAGATTATGTATTTTTAAAGTGCATCATCAGCTTCTTCGAAAACTAGCTTGTTCATTGATCTTTCTTACCAAACATTGTGTACTATATCAGCTGTCAGTACTTGAATTAGTAGTGTCACAAAAAGGATTCAGTTGATACAATGTTTACAATGACTAAAGATAAAACAAAGTGTTTATCGTATACACAAGGAGGGGATGATGAAGCAAAAACTGCACAGTAAGTATTTAAAATCCAGAGACAACAGGTTTTCAGATGATAGGCAGTTTAAAAAACACACAATACAACATAACAAGAAATAATTGTCTATTGAATAAGGACAAAGTTAAAATATCCCAGCCAAATCGCAGTGACCTTAAATGACCAATCAGAATTCAGATGCAAAATAGTTCGAAAATGTACTTGAAAATCGCAAACATGATATTACACTAGATAATTGCCGCTTATGTGTTGTAAGAATTTCCCCCAGTCACTACATGGATAATCAATAGAGAAATCATAGCATGCGCGATAGATGTATTCATCCAGATGACTGTAGATCAGGGTACTTTGAGATCCATCGATATTTCTGACACTGTTCTTTAACCTGCCCCTAACTCTAACCCATAATGCTAACCCCCTAATCCTGACTTTAAGCCTAATCCTAACTTTAACCTAAACTTAGAAAACATAACGCTAACTAAGAGTGTAGATTTACAGAAGTGCCA